CTTGATGAAGTGTCCCTTTGATCATTATATATTGTCCCTCTGTCTCTCTTTACCTGTCTTATTTTGAAATCCACTTGGTCTGATAATGAGAATTGCAACACCTGCCTTTTTTTCCTTGCTATTTGCTTGAAGTATTGTCCTCCACCCCTTCACCCTGAGTCTGTGTTTGTCCTTGGGGCTGAGGTGTGTTTCCTGGAGGCAACAAATTGTTGGATCGTGTTCTTTAATCCATTTTGCCACTCTGTGTCTTTTTATTGGTGAGTTCAATCCATTCACATTGAGAGTGATTACTGATGCATGTGGACTTAATGCTGTTAATCTGTCGCTCATTATCTTGTTTTCCTGCATTTCTTTTCCTGTTTGCTTTAGACTACCCATTTAATACTGCAATTTCTTACGCTGGGTTTCTTAGATTTTTCCTTATTTATGATTTGTGACTCTGTTCTGTACTTTATTTTAGTGTCTACCTTGAAGTTTGTATTTAGAATCTCGTGTATAATATAGTCTATTCTCTGGTGGTCTCTTACTTACTTGACCAATACTGATTTAGACCCTTTGCTCTTCCCCTCCTAAATAATTATTTTCATTTTTTATTCCAACTCGTCTTATTAATTGGTAGTTAGAGTGCTAAGATCATCCTTGTTTTGGTAGTTTCAATATCTTTACCCTAATGCTATAATTGAATATTTGCTATCCTGTTCTGGTTCTATCCATCGGTCTCCCTAGTCTGTGGATTGTGTCCCCTTTCTCCCTTTTTTCTTTTTTCAAGTATGAGAGCCTTCTTGAGGATTTCTTGTAATGGAAGGCTTTTAGTTACAAATTCCCTTAACTTTTGTTTGTCTGGAAAAGATTTAATTTCTCCCTCATATCTGAAGGAAATTCTTGCTGAATAGAGTATCCTTGGCTGAAGGTTTTTATCCTTTAAAGCTTTGAATATATCACTCCATTCTCTTCTAGCTTGTAGGGTTTCTGTAGAGAAATCCACTGACAGTCTGATAGGGGCTCCTTTATAGGTTATTCTCTTTTTTTCCTTACTTCCCTGAGTATTCTCTCCTTATCATTCCTATTTGCCAACTTTACTACTATGTGCCTTGCAGTAGGTCTTTTTACATTGACAAATCTAGGAGATCTAAAACCCTCCTCTACACACATTTCTCCGTTGATCCCTAGATTTGGGAAGTTCTCTTCAATAATTTCGTTAAGCACACTTTCTGCTCCATTTTCCTTTTCCATATTCTCGGGAATTCCTATGATCCTTATGTTCTTACTGCTCATTGAATCCATTATCTCTTGGAGATTTTCCTCATTTTTTTTAATTCTTAGTTCTCTTTCTTCCTCTGGGGCCATTCAGCCTGTCTATCTTCGATTATGCTAATTTTCTCCTCTATGTTGTCTACACGGGCATTCAGGGAATCCGTATTCTGTTTTATCTGGTCCATTGTGTTTTTCATCTCAAGTAATTCTGTTTTATTCTTCTTTATGATTTCAATCTTTTTTGTGAAGTAACTCCAGAACTCGGCTTGTTTCTCTATCTTTCTCTCTACCTCATTGAGTTTTTTGATTATAGCTGCTCTGAACTCCTTATCACTTAGTTTACCTAACTCCAAGTCCTCAGGACTTAATTCTATGTTTTTATTGTTTTCCTTCTGGTCTGGGGCTTTTATAAATTGCTGGATGGTAGAGGAGCGGTTTTTTCTCATGGTGGTAGAATTCAGTTGCAGTTACAGCCTGTTGCCTCTAGATGGGGGTCAAGAGCCGCGCGTTATGAGCTTTCCACCTTGGGGCAAGATGGCTGCGCCAGTGGGTGTGCTGGAAGGGGCTGTTACTCACACGCGCCGGTCAGGGTTCAGATCAGTTCTGTTCTCTGGTCTCCCAAGGCCCTTGATTTATGGGGTCCCTGTGGACAGAAGCTTCCCCCCGTCAGCAGGTCTCCATTGAATCAGTGGCAGGAGTCCTGGATGATCCCCTGGTCGCGCGGCCCCTCCCCCGCTCCTTCCCGACCAGCGCCACAGCAATCACAGACTCTAGGGGAGGGAGCAATGTTCTCTCCTACCCATTCCAGAGCCTCCGAGGCTGTAAGCAAGGTTTATGATCTCCGCCTTCTTGGTATTGTAGGTCTCTAACGAGCTGGCATTATGTTTATTCTCTGAAATTCAGTTCTTCCAATCTTTTGTTGTATTTTGGAGGGGAGAGAATCCCGGGTCAGCTCACCCTGCCATTTTGCTCCCATATGGTCTATTCTTAGTGAAGCATCAAGAGTAATCCTTTTTTGGGGTTGGCCCCATGGCAGAGTGGTTAAGTTCGCACACTGTGCTTCAGCAGCCCAGGGTTTCGAAGGTTCAGATCCTGGACGCAGACATGGTACCGCTCATCAGGCCATGCTGAGGCGGCGTCCCACATGCCACAACTAGAAGGACCCACAACTAAAAATAGACAACTATGTACCAGGGAGCTCTGGGGAGAAATAGGAAAAATAAAATAAAATAAAAATCTAAAAAAAAGAGTAATCCTTTTAAAACATGGCCAAGAGATAATGCCTTTCTCTGTTCAGAACCCTGCAATGGTCTCCCATCTCAGAGTAAAAGCCAAGGGATTGCAATGGTCTCCAAGACCTTACCTTTCTGGCCCAGGTAACTCCACCTAATCTCCTCCTACACACCCTACTTCCCCCGTTCTTCTGTACCACTGGCCTTTTCTTTGATCAGACACACTTGCACCTCAGAGCCTTTGCATTTGCTGTTACTTCTGTCTAGAATACTCTTTGCCCACATATCTCACCCCCTTGCCTTCTTCAAATCTTTGTTCAGATACCACCTTCTCAGTGAGGATTTTCCCGACCACCCTACATAAGATAGGAAGCCCTGCTACACCCAGCCTTCCCTATCCCTTCAGCTTTTCTCCACAGGACTCGTTTCCACCTGAAACATTACACAGTACTTGTTTGTTCCTTGATTGCAGGGACTTGGATGCATTATCCAATGCTACACCCAGTACCTAAGACAATGCTTGGCACATTTTAGACAATGGTCATTGAGTGAAGGAACAAGTAAGACTGTGTGCATAAAAAACCAACAAGATACTCCTACAAAGTGAGAGAATTCAGGAAGAACCCTAAGGCTTTATTTATTAAAAATGGAATTTTAGAGGCCAGCCCAGTGGTGCAGCAGTTAAGTTCGCACATTCCACTTCAGTGGCCCAGGGTTCACAGGTTTGGATCCTGGGTGCAAACCTACATACCACTTGTCAGGCCATGCTGTGGCAGGTGTCCCACATACAAAGTAGAGGAAGATGGGCATGGATGTTAGCTCACGGCCTGTCTTCCTCAGCAAAAAGAGGAGAATTGGCAGCAGATGTTAGCTCAGGGCTAATCTTCCTCAAAAAAAAAAAAAACCAGGAATTTTAATCATTTTAAAATTACAATGGAAGATCACAATGGGGACTCTTTACTGCTAAATTGGGATTAACCTAACATGCTGACGTGTAGTTTATATCTGAAAAAAGACGAGGTAAAAAAGTATGGACCCATGACTTCCAGAAGCACACCAAGGAAAAATAGCCAGAGTCTATTAGACTCTGCAGATTATTCATAGTCTAACTGCAGCTGTGCCTCAGTGCTATCCTCAGATCTGTTTTTTTATCCCTAGTTCACTTCCTATCATATTCACCACAGAAGCCATGCCAAAACTTGCCACCCTCTTCAAGACTCCAAACCCTCCTCTGCCACCTCACTGTCAATAACTGACCCCTCCTGAGAAAATCAAGGCCACTCTACTTCAACTCTCTCATGTCCATCCTCCATTTCAATTTGTGTTGTATCAGCACACATTCTTTCCATACTAAGAAAAAGAAGAGTCTCTCCTTCTTTTAATTCTTCAGACAAAAGTGAGTATGATCTAAGATCTGGGTTTGCTATATAATTGCTTCCATTCCCCATTTCACATTAAAGCTAAAAACTCAATTTAAAAAGTGCTTTGAACAACTGCTATATACATGTAAATTATGTGAATGTTGGAGAGGATAAGCAATAAAACTGATTAACTTATTCAATTAACAGATAAATGGACAATGTTAATTGCATAGTTTTATAATATCCTTAGAAAAAGAAATAAGCCCGGAGGCTAAGCCAGTGCCACGCCCACCACACTCCAAGGCCAGCATCACCAAGCAAGGAGACACCAATCATGGCGCGCGTTCGAGGCTTGGTAACACCAGCCTAGTTCTCTGAACATGGACACTGGTGCCCCGTCTGCTGGAGAAGTGAAAAAAAACCCCGCCTTGGACTCTTGTGGAAGCTTCACTGGCCAAGTCGAACAGTGAACAATGGAACAATCGTTCAAAGAGATGGGGGCATTGAGAGCTAATGGCTGTAATATCTGAGTGACAGACCCAGTGTGTTTTTTTTTTCAATTCTCTCGTAAAAGTTGGAGGAGGCCCTAATGGAGGTGTTAGCTGATAGATCGTTGAAAATATTTTTAATTGTAAATTACTAAACAAGTTTTGGCACATAACCCAAAAGCAATTCAAGGAGTTGAGTGACACTGTTATAACAAGATTTAAATGCCTCTCTCCTTTTTCATACAGACAAGGTTTCTCTAGAGTTCAATCTGCTTTTTTTTTAAAAAAGAAAAATAGCAGTAAAATTGATGGTATTCTACTTCATTACAGCAAAAAGTAATATCTATACACAAATACATGGGCATAATTGGGAGAAAAAGCTTCATTCCTCTCATTAAGCAAATGCATTTTCAATAAAAGCGTATTTTTCTTTAAAAAAAGAAGAAGAAATAAAAAATTCCAGAATGATATTTCCAGAAACATTAAGTTCATTAGCTAATTTTATTTTTGGAATTGAATTGTTAAGCCTAAAAAGTAGAAAGAAATCATCAGCAGAGACCTTAAACACATCTAACATACAAATTACAACTATATGTCTTCATTGTTCAGCATTAAACACATTATATCACCATTTCTGCAAACAATTGTTTAAGGTATTTTAATACCAGCCTGAGCCAGTTCCACATTGAAGGCTCTCAGAGCAAAAGCAGAGCTTCTGGATTCTGCAGGGAGCAGCAGGGAGCATAAATAGCTTTCATAATCTCGTTTCCTATAACAAATAGGCAAAAAAAGATAGTTACTTTTTACTTTCCAAACTGCACACAAAAAAATACTGACCAAAATGAACTACAAACAACAAGGCTTCAAATCAAAATAGCCCTGAAATTTCTTATATTTTATACCTGTTTTTCTACAATTATAAAAAACATTATCTGCCCCCAATCCCAGATCAGTTAAAAAGAAGAAATAATCAATCTCTATTAATTTATTTTGACTTATAAAGTACTTATAGTTTTCATTGTTTCAGGATCTCTTTGGTTTTAATAAGAACTCAAATGATGGGCTGGCCCTGTGACCAAGTGGTTAAGTTTGCACTCTCAGCTTCAGTGGCCCAGGGTTTCGCCAGTTCGAATCCTAGGTGTGGACATGGCAACACTCGTCAAGCCATGCTAAGGGGACATCCCACACAGCAGAGCCAGAAGGACCTACAACTAGAATATACAACTACGCACTGGGGGGCTTTGGGGAGAAGAGGAAGGAAAAAAGAATTCAAATGAGCTACAGAAGTAGAAATCAAGAAAATAGTTCCAGCAAGTACTGGTATGAACTCACAGTTTTTAATACACAGATAAATACATCTATAAGACATAAAGAGAAAAAACAATACAGGGGGTGTGTGGGGTGGTGTGCTGGTGTGAATGTGCACACACCTGCACAGATGTTTCCTCACAGCATCTGCTGAGAGAGCCTAGAAGCAATGATACTCCCCTAAAACCCCAGAATCAGTGAACACACCTAATACCTAGATTCCGGTTTCTAAACACCATTCTCCTCTGAAAGAAGGACTCCTTGGAGGAAAGACTGACTCCAGGACTGGGGCAGAGACAATACAAGATAAGTCTGAAACATCTTCTTGAGCAGCAAGTAAAGAAACAAAGAATGGAGGGACTTATCAAAAGGACAAAGAAATTGCCTTGACAAAGTTCTCAGTGGCCAAGTCTGGGACAATTTGAGCATCAAAAAAACGATAGTACCAGCCTATAGCAGGACTCCATAAGCCCATACCAATATAAATTAATGAATAAATAAATAGGAAGAAAAGGAAAAACTTGAGAACCAGTACAATGCCAACTGATAAATCTAGAAGATATGATGGAATTGTTTTTAAAAAATTATCATTTTATACCTATAACTGATTCAGGCAAAAATCATCAATAAAAGTCTGAAAACATTAAATGAGTAAAAGTTTGATAGGAACAGGATATTTACACAGTATTGAAGTATCCCCTCACAAAATATGCATTACTAACTAATGAAAATTGTTATTAATTAAATTTAGAGGGGAGAAACTCGAAGGACACCTTCTCAACCAAGTAATAAAAAGTTCACAGCACACTAATAGTATAAATCAACATCATGTGCTTCCTGATATGATACTGATAAAAGCACATCACTTCTGTAAATATTCCTGCCAAAAACGTATAAATCATGAGGAAACATTAAATAAACCCAAATTGAGAGAGATTCTACAAAGTAACTGACCTCTTCTCTTCAAAAAACATCAAGCTCATGAAAGATAAGGAAAGACTAAGAAACTGTTTCAGACTGGAGAGAACTAAAGAGTTAGGACAATTAGGGCCGGCGCAGTGGTTAAGTGCACAGGTTCAGCTTCGGTGGCCTGGGGTTCGCCAGTTCGGATCCCAGGGGCGGACATGGCACCTCTTAGCAAGCCATGCAGTGGTAGGCGTCCCACCTATAAAATCAACGAAGATGGGCACGGATGTTAGCTCGAGGCCAGTCTTCCTCAGCAAAAAGAGGAGGACTGGCAGCAGATTTTAGCTCAGGGCCAATCTTCCTCCAAAAGAAAAAAGTTATGACAATTAAATGCACCACAAAATCCCAGATAATATGAAAGACATAATAGAATAACCAGCAAAATTTGAATGGAGTCTCTGGATGAGATATAATACTGAATCAATTTTAATATCTTGATTTTCTTGGTTGTACTATGGTTACATGAGAGAGAATCCTTGTGTATTAAGGAATACACACCAAAATATTAAGGGAGGTAATAGTGCATCATGTCTACATCTTATTCTCAAATGGTTCAGAATGTTAACAATGAGGGAATTTGGATGAAGAGTGTATTCGAGCTCTGTGCACTATTTCTGTAATTTTCATGTAAATTTGCAATTACTTCAAAATACAAAGTTAAAAAAATATACAATCTTTACTATATACATTCTAGAATGACTTAAATATAAGGTACTTAACAAACTGCCTAACGACAAGAGTACTTTCATTGTAATATACTGGAACTTTATAACGTTATTTCCTATAAAAGAGTATTCAATATAAAATGGGTCCAATCTCATTCCATGGAGTTTAGGTACTGAAATTCAGACTACTCCCACTTTTCAAGTGGTTCACATTTTGTCATGTGCCTAACAAAGAACTTAAAGCCCTTCTAGCTACTCCCTTCACAATTTCTCCCAACTTCCACACAAACAAAAGGAAGAGATCATGAAAAGTAACCCTGCTATCACAAGACAGCTCTACTAAAAAAATCTCACCTTTAGCGGTTTCAGCTACAAAATGGACAGTGCAGGCCAAACAGCTCTAGAGTTTATACTTTTAATATATAGAGAGAGAAAAATATTTTTAAATTTTATATTACTATAAAAAGTCTCAACTTCAAAAGTGTTTAAAACATTTAAAAGTTAACATGAGGGGGCTGGCCCGGTGGCACAGTGGTTAAGTGCACACATTCCACTTCGGCTGCGCGAGGTTTGCCAGTTCAGATCCTCGGTGTGGACATGGCACCGCTTGGCAAGCCATGCTGTGGTAGGGGTCCCACGTATAAAGTAGAGGAAGACGGGCACGGATGTGAGCTCAGCACCAGTCTTCCTCAGCAAAAAGAGGAGGATTGGCAGCAGATGTTAGCTCAGGGCTAATCTTCCTCAAAAAAAAAAAGTTAATATGAAACAGCGAGAAAACACTGAATAGGAATCAAAACTACAATCTTCATTTCCATCATTCCACTAGTTATTGACAGAAATGATACCAGCCAAGTCTATTTCCTAATTTGCAAAATTAGGCTTGATAAGCTACCTGTTTCATATCTCCTAAAAATAACCAAGATGTGAAGTAGTTCGAGTTTCTTGCATGGAAATGAAAATGAAATGAAGACATAATAGAACTGTAACAACTCTGGGGAAATAAGATATTCTATACAGCTAAGAGTTGTCCTGTGAACAATTTTTAAAAATTTTTGGTTGGAAATTTTTCTCAACAATATTACCCATTTCTTTACATTAAATGGGATATACTGATCATTTAACCATTTCTTCATCACTCAGGATCACTGTGTATTGGTATACAAGGATATGTAAGTGGCTAACCAAGGTCCAGTTACCTGAGAACTGCTCCAGATAGTAAGAAATGCCATATTATGATGACTTTATACAGCAATGGGGCCAGTAACCTTCATTCATTAATTCTAACATTTATTCAGTGCCTACTATGTGCCAGGCACTGTGCTAGACACTGAAGATAGGTATAGACTTCAGTCTAGTAGGGAGAGACAGACATGAGAAATAAGCATATTTGGTGTTAGAATTGTGCTAGTTCCACAGACCTGTGGCATCAAGGCACAAAGAAACAAGTGGTTCCCCAGTGGAGCTGGAGGAAGATGGAAAACAACTGCACTTCCAGATATGACCACCAGCATCTCCTCACCTCCTTATTATAGCACTAATCCCAAAGCCTGAGGCAGTGTTCCTGAAAACCAAACTCCAACAAGCCTATGTGAGAGATTACGTGTGAGATTTTCCCAGGAACCTAGATTCCTAGGATAGCTCTGGCTGGCTAACCTGAAGTTATGGCCTGGTATCTTTGCTGATATTTGGAGGCTTTGTGTAATATGTCCAAAACAATTCTGCACAAGTGATTTCAGAGGCCAAAGCGTGCAAAGATCAATGGACAGTTAGAAGCTAAAAGTTTTAATCTTCCTTTCAAATTTCATTTTGTTTTTATTTTAAAACTACTCACTGAGCAATTGTTATGTGCCAGCATTTTCATATACACCATCGCACATTTAATCCTGACAACTAGGCTATAAAGCAGTAGAAATTCACAAATGAGGAAACAGCCAAATCTTAAAGTAAGTAACTCTTCCAAGTGACAGAGCTGGGAGGAAAAACTCAGATCAAGTCTGCCTGCAAAATCCAGGCTTTTTAATAAACCTCTAAAATCAATAGCTTCCACTCCACTCAAATACCAACATGGACAGATTAAGTATCTGGCCATGAGGCCAGCCAGTGGCACAGTGGTTAAGTTTGCACGTTCCTCTTCGGTGGCTGGGGGTTCACCGGTTCAGATCCCGGGTGCGGACATGGCACCACTTGGCAAAAGCCATGCAGTGGTAGGCGTCCCACATATAAAGTAGAGGAAGATGGGCATGGATGTTAGCTCAGGGCCAGTCTTCCTCAGCAAAAAGAGGAGGATAAGCAGCAGTTAGCTCAGGGCTAATCTTCCTCAAAAAACAAACAAACAAAAAGTATCTGGCCATGTGTGAATACATATATTTGATAAAAGTTGTCATGTGATATCCATACAATAGTAGTGGAGGAATACATAAAAAATTTATAAGAGTGATTATTCTGATTATTCACCTCTGGATAGGAAAGTCAGGATACTACTGGTGTCAGAGAAAAATTGCACTCGAAAAGTGGGTATGAGTGGTATACATTTTGGTAACTTCAATTTTTTATCATAAAAAAACTTTAAAATATATAAAAATGACTACAACCTTTTAGCAGTTTGGGCTTTTACAATTCTTAATGCCCTGATTTCTGCTTCTGCTATAATCAACAACAAGGTGGGGGAGGAACACCATGAAAGAGAGATTAAAAACAAAACAAAACACTGAAATGCATGGGAATTTTACATTGTTATGCTACAATGGAATTCATTGGATTTACTAGCCCAATCAAATCCAAGGTACTTTATTCTAGCACTTCTCCGAAGTCCTGGAGACCGAGTACTTGGAGCCTTTCTACCACAGTTATGAAGCAAGGGCAGCAAAAGGGCAGCGAGGGCTGAGTCATGTCTCCGCAGTCAGGCCTGGATTCCAATGCAGGCCCCTGCCCAGATGTGCCGGGGGACCGGATCCATCCAACTCGACTCCACAAACGATTAACAGCGACTCCCATGTGCCAGGCCTTTCCAGTGTCACCAGGGCGAACAAAACCGTCCTCAAGCCCCTGACTTTATGAGGCTATTCCACTGAACCTCAGGCAAATTCCCTGATCTCTCTAAACTTCCATTTCCTCGTTTATTAAATGAGATACTGTGGCTTATACTGTACTCACTGTGCCCTTGCTTTGTGCCACACATGGTTCTAAATGCTTTAATCCACGTGACTCTAAATCGCAAGTCTACCTTTGCCCATCACAATTGGCAAGGAAGATTAAGCAAACGACTTGTAAACTACTTTGTATAATGCCTGACAAACAGGAAGGACTCAAAGTGACCTACTGTTGTAATTAAAACTAATTACTACTCGTCTTTCAAATTTAAAAATGCTATGCATGCAAAACGTTTAATTAGGTAAAAATTAAGGTTCAGGCAAGGTGACAGACAAGGATGTTTACCACTATTTTGTGACCCGTGTGAAAGTTCCTGCTGCCTCACTGCCCCCCGCCCGGAGCCCACCTGAGCGCACACGCAGAGGGCTGCCAGCAAGGCGCCGGTCCGCTCGCCCCGGCCGGCCGCGAGCCCCGCCGCGCCCACGCGGGCCCCTTCCGGCTGCTCCCCGACCTCCCGTCGGGAGCAGGCCCGGCTCGCTCACCGCAGCAGCTCCATGCAGTAGGCGTCAGTGCCCGAGGCGCCCAGTCCGCTGGCTGCCGCCACGTTCCGTCCAGGGCCCGCGAGACCTGGGACCCGCCGCCCGCGCGCCCACAGGCCCGGAACGCCGAGCCGCAGGGGGCCACACGCCGAACCCGGAGCGGAGACCGCCATGACACGGACGCCGCATGCCCTCCGACCCCGCGCCTGCGGTGCGCAAGCACGCCTCGCCACGCCCCCGGCAGGTCCCGCCGCGCGCTTCTCGGCTGCGGGAGGCAGGCTCCGGACGCCGCTTGGAGAAGAGGCAGGTGTCGCTGTGGCCCTGTGCATCTGGGCCGCCGCCGTGCTTTTCCCCCTTGGTTCCAGGAAAGCCCCGCCTAAATTCAGTCGATCCCGCCAGGCTCTCCCCCTCCCTTCCAGATCCTTATGACGATGTATTTATCAAGGTAGGAGGGTAAATTTTGACAGTTTACTAGATTGATTTATAACTTTTAAATATTTGTTCTCACAGTATGTGAGCCTCTTTTAGTACTCTTACCCTCAGACCCGTCAAATATTAGAGTTGGGTCTTGTTGCCACCACCTGGTCTAAGCCAACAGCTGCCTATATCTGGATCCCAGTGACACTTCCTGCCCAGATTTGCCCAAAATGTTCATGCTGCAGCCAGACTGGGTTCTTTCGAAAATGTACATCTGATCATGACCCTTTCCTGCTTTGACAACTTTTCCTGCGCAGTATTGGATAATGCTTCTCCCTGATAATGGCCTCTATTTACCTTTCAGCCTCAACTCTGGCCATTTGCATTTGTGACTCCAGTTTAATGTTTCTCCTTAACCCAAGGGAGAGTGCCCTGTTGTCTGGACTAAAGAACTGTGGCCGATTCACCCTGCTTTGGTTTTCCTCCCT